TACCCCGTGAGCTTTGCCTGGTTGGATGTGTCTTCTACATTGCTGACTACCATGGAGAAGTAACAGTGGAGACACTGCATGCTTGGAAGAGGGTCATTCAACAGCATGCTGGAGAGGTGTGTTTTGATAGCCCTTATTACCTAAATTACTTTGTGATGTGGTTTATCAGCCATTTTACCAGGGACATGTCATGCTTCTATTGTCTATATGGTAATTTAGGGTAAAAGAGAAAAGAAATAGCACTAAAATCTGCAGACCAGAAGCACTGGATGTGTATATATATGGCCTGAAAACATACGTGCTAGTTGCTGCACATGCTGCTACATTTACATGTGGCATTGGAGTTTAAGCCTTTTAAGATTTTAGCAAACCTGCAGCCATTGTATAATACATACAATTTTTAAATGTATTTTCATTCCAAAACAGGTTGTTCCGATCTATGACTCTGCACGGGTTACTCACCTTCTCTGCAAACACCAGAAGTCACCAGTGTTTATGCAAGCAGTGCGTGAAAATAAACGCTGCATTACCATATTTTGGCTGAATGATGTTCTTCTTAGAGGAAAAATGGCTCCCCCATGGCAGGCTATACACCTCCCTACTCCATTTGGGTTTGTAACCAATATACATGTTGATTAAACATAAATGTGTGTCTGTGTACACACATGTGCACATGCAGGTGTGTAAGGGATATAAGTGAGAATGTACTAGCTGGCAGCTACACATAAGTTGGGGGATGGAAAAATCTCAGGGGGTAAGCATCTCTCTCTCTCTCTGTATGTATGTATTTGTGTGTGTGTGTGTTTTAAGATGCACACACACTGTATCTTTATTTATTTATTTATTTATTTATTTTACTATTACTATTACTCTCACACTCACTGACTCACTCTTATGAATTTAGTTGTATGTGTGCAGTATTGATAATACCATAACTTAAAAGTGTTAATAATAGCAGCAGATTATAGCCCTTCTGATTTTCTTTCAGAAATGATAACAAGCCTTGCAAAGATCTCATAGTTAGTGTGAGTGGATTTGAGAATGAAGAAAGAACCATCATCAAGTTAATGCTACAATTGGTAGGCGCCAAATATACAGGTTATTTTTCAAAACATAACAGCCTTCTGATCTGCAAGAGGTAAGATTTTTTCTATTAGGTTGGCACAAATCGCATTGATGATTATAACAATATTCATATAAATATCAATGAAATGAAATACAGAGTTCCATATTCAATATCCATTATTAATTTTGTCTATTTGTTTTATATGTTTATGTAATATTATTTTTATATATTGTCTTTTTTCACATTTTATGCACATAGGTTGGAAGGAGCAAAGGTAGCCAAAGCAAAAGAATGGAAGCGTCCTGTCGTGAATGGTGTGTGGCTAAGCGAGGTGTTGTTGGGGCAAAACACACCTCCACTAGTCTACCATGGGACACGTTATCAGCATTACCTGGATGATCCTCTCCGCATAGATCCTTCACTCGCATCTCATCTCTTTAGTGAGTAGTTGGTCATCATAGGAGGTATCACTACAACAGACAAACCTAATGGTTGGCAAAATATTAATCAATATCTATTTCTGTATTTACAAGTCATCATCATTTTTTGATGAATTTTTGTTGCTAGAAAGTGCCAGAAGTATATATTTTTCTTTCTTTCTTTTCAGATGCCTGGAAATACCACATAAGTGTTTCTAAAGAATCTGTTGAAAAGGCCAAGGCAATGAGGGAAATGGCATTAAGAAAGAGAAAAACAGAGGCAGATGGTATGTACAATTCAATCCAATTCTTTGTTACATTTTTATGTTAGAGTACACATGTGCAATCAAAAATGTTTGAATTCATGTACCCAATCCATAAGGACTTACCAAAATACAGTTACTGTGGTAAGAAACATGTGCCAAAAACTAATAGGCTTTTCATTTTTATTTTTGTTTCTTTATACTGGCATGTAATGGAACTTTTCCTCCATTTTCATTCCTCAAACTGTGTTTTATAAATTAAATTCATGGATGTTTCAGGGGACCAAGAGAACAAACGTGCTTGTCTTGAGCCGCCTCCAGCTCCACATCTGGGATCCACTCCTTCCCAAACTCCAACACAACCCACAGCACCTTCCCAGTTACCCAGCACACCCACTGGTGGCCCACCTCAAACATCCTTACCTTCTATTAGTGGCTTTGGAGGCCCACTGACTATCATCAACAAAGAACTCCCTCCAGAACAACACAGACCTCGTATTTTGTTATCAAGTATAAAAAATAAGGAAGAAATTGAAAGGGTTAGTGTTATAGAGTGAAAAAAAGATATGTATCAGTGTGTTTGCATATATATATGTTCCACACCATTTCTATTTAAGTTGGAATATTACATTAACTGGCATACTTGCATTTTTTTGTGTAAGTGAAAAAAAATATATAAGTATTTATTTTATTTACATGTATATTTCATGTGAAATGTACAGATTTTTCATATCATGCAATTACAAAAATGTTATTGACAGGAATTTAAAATTCACTAAATATCCTTTTTTTTTCAGAAATTGCTTGAATTAGGTGGTTACTTGGCTAAGACGAGCATTGAAGCCACTCACTTAGTTATGGGGATAGGCACTGCTCAGAGAACTGTAAAATTTATGTGTGCAATATCTTGCTGTAAATATGTATTGACTCTGCAGTGGATCTTGGATTCCCATGCAGAAGCAAAATTCTTACGTAAGTATCATTTTCCTTATTTTGTGGGTGTTGGTGGGGATTGATTTACTGATAAAAGAACATAACCCAAAATTATGGGGAGAAAAGTAATGATTGTAGCAGGAAAGGGAAAGGGAGAGATGGGTTGAGACGTAGGAGGAGGGTGAAAGATGGAGGGAGTAGGAAAAAAGTACCTCGTTCTTTCTGTGGAATTTCTACGTCTGTCTTGTATCCATTTATGTTACTGTGGTGTGGAAAAGTAATTTATAGATTCTCAAATAATGTTTTAAAAAATCTGAATACTGCTTATTACCATACTGATGTATTTAACATTATTAGCTGATAATTTCTGAAACTCCTTTCAGCTGAAGAAAAATACATTGTGGAGATGCCAGAATATGAACGTGTTTTCCAGTTCAGCCTGAAATCCACCTTGATGAAGCCGAATAGACGACACCTATTTTCAGTAAGTGGTGATAAGACATCATGTAGATATTGCAACAAATGAGTTATGAGAAATGCAGTGGTCTTTGAATCCAGCTTCTTCTTCTTTGAAACTTTTTATAATTAAATTGCTGATTGGCTGTGGTAAATGTGTATAAAACCAGTTGGAGGATTTTAAATGTTCTAATTCAATTTTTTTTTTCAATTCACAGGGAAAGACTTTTTATCTAACTCCTTCAGTTATCCCTGGTAGAACCTGGTTACGGGAAATTATTGAGTGTGCAGGTGGAACTGTGGAGAGTAAAAGGCGCACACTAAAGGAAATTAAAGAAAGAAATAAGTAAGTATTTTTTCTTTGTTCACATTTTTTCTGGAAAAATATAGTCTAACGTAAACCCTTAACCCCTACGATCTACAATCACACTGTAAAAAAACCTTGCTTGAGGGATGGGTGAAACTGGCTGTAGGGCATCATGAGCGTTTGGGCCAAAGGCTGCGGTGACGGGAAAGACTTGCCACGAATGCACAGGCCTCTTGTAGGGTGATTAGATTCATTTGGCATTTAGAATGAAGCTTTTGCATTCTTCCCAATGATAAACAAAAATGGAATGTAGTGTCTTTGAGCAATGACTGAAAGGGCAGCAGTTCCAGTGAGGGTGCTATTTCTATGCTCAGCATCCTATTTATGGCTGCTGTGACCTGTGGCACAGGTTGCATTATAGAAAATTAAATATTAAAAAAATATATATATATATAGTAGTATCAATGATTATAATAATAATGATTATACCAACCCCAAAATGTTTGTTATTGCTATTATTTTTGCATTGAATTATGAACTCTGTAGAGAGGTGATATTGAGTCTGTGCAAGGAAAACCGTCTATTACTTTCTAAATTAAGCAAATCAAATGACAAATGTAGACATTGGAAAATGGCAGTAAAGCTTAAAATGCTTATCAATAAAAAGATAAAATAACATTGCAAAGGGGAGGCATAGAGACTTGTCACCACACACAAGTGTTTTTGTGTGCCCACCTATAATCTGCACACCCATCAGAGCAGCCGCTTACATTAGCTTAATGCCATATTTTGGGCCATGTGATTGCCATGAAGCACCCAGATCCAGTGAGTTAATAGATATCTATCCAATATATAAGCATGCTTGGGTGAGGACGCAAGGAAAACTACAATTGTTCCATAGGATGCTGGATTATAATTGTGATGTTAACAGGTTTGATAATTTAGACTGTGATTAGCAGTTGACAAAATTATAATTGTTTTTGTGTGAATTTAAATAGAAGTGATTATTTAGTTCATCAGATCATGAAATTGTATGTCCTTTAGAGGTTACAGTACAGATTGGATGAAAAGGATATTTATATTTATTACCCATTTTTTTCTCTCTGCTATAGTCTGTCCAGTCTCAGGAATGGAAAAACTGGCACCTTATACTTTGGAGTACTCATTTAGTCTGTTTTGAGAGAAAAATTATAAAGTATTGTAATGCAATAGATGTTTAAAGATTTCCAAACATATGTAAGCATAAATATTAAATGTCAGCTGATTAGAATAACAAAGAGGCTTGGCAAATCAGAGTACTCCAAAGTCCAGGGTAAGTGCCCATTTATTTCTTTCCTGAGATTTGAACACACTATAGTCTTCATATTTTTCTTCCCACATTTCTTCTATCAGACCTCAGTACAAAGATGCATGCTATATCCCCAAACAGTGAGAAAAAATAACACAAAATCACATCCAGTATATGATTTTGAGTCAAATCAGAAGCATCATGCTTTTGGTCCCTGGTCTTTAAGGATTAAAAATGTTCTAGATTTCAAGTAATGGCCCCTGAAGAACTTGCTTGCCTTGATTATTTTGATATAACATTTAATTTTTTAGTTCCTGAACCTTTATTGCTAGATCACTAGATATTCAATAATTGCAGGGATGGTGCTCATCAGTATTTGACTATTGCTACAATAGCTGATAGTCATCTGGTGCGTGATCTTCTACAAGAAGAGATGCGTAAGTCTTCAACATTTTCTTATTGGCCATATCATTTAGATTTATTTTCTTTTATTTACTGTTATAATTCTACTATGTATGTATAATTCTTTTTAACTCTAGTCCAGAGAGTATTCCTGTGTCTTGTCTAATATTGCACTTCACTGTTTCCAATATTGGAGGAAACAGAATGGATTATGATTGTAATTTCTTTCATTTTCTTTTGCAGCTGTGTTTAATGCTGAATTCGTCCTTGGATCAATCTTAAAGCAACAGATTGATGTAAAAATGGCACTCTATGTCGATGAAGAATAGGTAAAATAGCAAATCCATGAAAAAGGATGATACACAATAAAAAGAATTGACATTAAGGGTTTGTTTTGATAATTGTATGCTGTATTAATGAATACAGAAAAGCTACATTGAACATTAATTTCAAATGTTAACTTTTAACCCATTGGTGCTATGTAACTGCACTATCCATTGTAGTTTTTTTAGTGAATTATCTTTACACATACCTAGTTCCACAAGTGCTTGCTCACTAAGGAGTCTGTTTATACCTTTCTTCACCTAACTGGTGTTGTTTTGTTCATGTTTTGTTATGATTGACATTTGATATTTAATAATGTATTTTTCTACTATTATTTTTATTGACATTATAGTTATTATGTTATTATTGACAATACTAGTAGTATTTTTTCTTCAGTTTTCAAGGAAAAGAATAACCAAGTGAGGTCAGATAGGAAAAGTAATTGACTCCTTCATAACTAAGCATTTCTAGAGCCATCTATATGTAAGCAAAATTAAACTAAAACCTCAGTGGATGTGACATGTCTATGTACATGACCTCCTGGCATCAACAGGTTAATTGGCATTGTTAAAAAAAACAGAATAGTTTAGGATAGAATGTCATAAAAGATTGCTGACTACTAGTTATGAGTGCTATTTTTAGTGGAATATGTTTTATTTAATTAACTGCTGCAAATGGAGTTGTATTGTTACAGTTAACTTCAGTATTTGTTTGTACATATTATTTAGGCAAAGACATATGATTTTCCTAGGAATTTTTATGTACTTCTGATTTATAGTTGAATATGAGATGGAGAACATGATAGTGAGTTCAGAGGAAAAGTGCTAGCACTGCCAAAATTATATTGTTGCTAATGTATATTTTATTTTTTATCTTTGCAGGTTATAGCAAGATTTTCCTGCTTTGAATATAGATTTTTCCTATTTATATATAGGAATACTTCATTTCTCTTTTCTTTTCTTTATTTAGTTGTTATTAGTTTTAAGCAGTCTGCCATCTCATCACATTTATTCATGTATTATCTAACATTATATTGGTTTTATCAGCTTATTTCTCCTTATTAATTCATAATGCATTACCCAAGTGATGACAGAATTTAATTTTTATTTTATTTTTATTATTATTATTATTAATTTTTTTTTTTTTCACTGTCATCTAGTGGCCAGTGAAGAGTTGTTGGTAGCAAATGTCACATTTTGACTTGGATTTTGTTATTTGGTTTTAGAAAAAGAGATTATCTTATTAATTTAAAAATTTCAAATAGTGAAATTTGTAAGAATGATAGGTACATGACATTGCTAATTTATCATGATTTCAAGAGTACTTGCTATATCATACTGCAGTTGTAGTAATGGATGTGATTGAATGGTAATGGAACTTGAGTAGCTCAGTGAAACAACTGAATAATTATAATGTAATGGTGATAGGTTAATGTATGGAAAAATAAAGTATTTTAATGACACCACTTTATGAAGGAATATTTTTTATGAATTGTGTAATAAAATTTGAAGATAAGTGATGTTTTAATATTTTTCCTTTAACTTATATTAGATCATGAAAAGGAAAACTATGATTGTATTTTTTCCAGGGTATAAGATATAATTAATTCTCATGCTTTCAGTGGTTTAGGAGTAGTTTACTAGCAAACAGCATTCACTGTGACAAATGCAGAAAAATGGTAAATATGAAAATGAAAAATACAGCACAGATGTAGCAAGTGGCCAAATTATCTCGGATCCTGTTGAGGTACAGGAGCGTTGAGCTGAGAATTATGAGCAGTTGTACCAGGTTGATCCACTAACAGTTAACTTGGATGCAGGTAGTGTCAAGATTCCTTTGCCTGACCCATCTATCAGTGAGGATCCTCTCTCACTGACTGAAGTCAGGGGGTGATCTCTAAACTGAAGAGTGGTAAAGCAGCAGGTATCTGCAGCATCCTAGCTGAACTGTGAAAGGAGATCCTATGGGAAGGGGCTAGCATGATGTCCTGTCTGCTGTCTGGAAGACTGGTAACATTCCCCCCGACCTGCTGGAGGGTGTGG